TATATATATAATGCAACTAAAGTCAACTATCTTCCATTTAGACTGGACTAAATCAAACCCAAAATAATGGACACATCTGGCAACCATTACTGGGTCAGATCTGGCACTTTTTATACACATGCTAATGATATTTTTATATTTTTAGTTTGTTTAGCGTGTCCACAGAATATATTTAAAGAAAACTGCCATAATAATGTGTTATAATTATGCAAATTACTGCTCACATAATTCATCCTTTAAATGTGTTTATCCTTTGTCAGTGTGCCTGTACATCAAATTATCAATGGAAAATAATAATAATAATAATAATAATAAAAATAATAATAATAAATATTTTTGTTCTTTAAGAATTTATCACATTTTTACGCTGGATACATTATTAGCAATCTTTTTGCAAATAGTTGCAATCTTTGTGTTTAGAATGCAGCGTGCATGGTGTTAGTAAAAAACACATGCTTTGTCATTTTCTTGAAAGAACTACAACTGTGTATATGAGTTTGTATTCTGGCCACTCAGCCTGCAACCTTGGCTAGCTTGTTCTGACACTCAATTTATTGTCCTGTGATTTGAGGCTTTAGTTTCTCATTACACCCAAAGTTTTTGTGTCCTTGTGCGGCAAAAATTAGCTTGTGTGTCCGTGTAAATCACCTGTCATATGCACATGCTCCTTTAAGGAAAGGCCAAGGGTGTCATTTGATTCCTGCTGCCTTGCGCTCATATTTATGCGCCTCATATTCACGTCCATTGGCTGTGTCTCAGTTGGGCTATCCATCAACACTTTTTATCCCCATCGCACAAACAGTATGGGCATAAAATGTTCCTATATGTCAGCAAAATGCTGCCACAAATAAAACGTGAACAACACACGTCTTTATTTGTCTGGGTAATAAACTATATAAATTAAAAGCGATAAGTGACACAATTTGCATTAATCATTAGCATTATACTGGGGCTTTAATGGAAATTACCTGTGGAAGTGCGGCTGTTATATAAAGTTGAATTGAAAACAAAGGGGTGATATATTAATGAGTTTACAAATATGAAGGACAGTCAGACTAGGGGTGTTTTTCTCCCAGAATAGAACCTTTTTTCAAACAAACATGTCAAAGAAACTCAGAAAACTTCATCTCTCATTTTCAATGGTAATTGTGAAATACAAATTTATTTGCAGTTGTATGCTGTTATTTTTTATTTTCATTTTAGTAACAGTATTTTATGAAGAATTTAAAAAATAGAACATAAAATTTTCCATATAACCACATGTACATAAAACAGGAAAATATTATTGGAAGCTGTAAATTGAGCAAATTAATTAGCTACTGTAAAACAAAACAAAGACCAATAAATGTAAGTAAAATAATTTTTTCATTTATATTTTGTGTTCAGTTAGTAAAAAATGTAAAACACAAATCAGTTATTAAATCACATTAAACAAATCATATTGAAATTATCTTTTTATTCAGTTATTGCCTCTAGTATTGCAACTCAAATGATGCTTATCTGCAGGTTGTATGTTTTCCCAATTATTCTGAATGGGGGGAGGGGAACTGAAACAAAACAAAATCAAAAAAGAGAATCTAGTTAAAAGTGATGGGATGAAACGACGTCTTTCCCAATTTTGTACTCTCAGACAGAATCAGTTGCCTTTGGCCTGCTTAGGGGTAGAAGGTGAGGGAAGCACACAAAAGCAGTGTAATTATTCTGCTCTGGCACAACAACAGAGAGCAAAAGGAGCATCAAAGGCTTTCCTCTGAGCAAAATAGGGCTCCCTCAGAGGAAAAGCACAACCTGGATGTGTATGTGTGAATACCAGTGCTTGGACTTTTTGTCCTCTTTTGAGTCCTAAACTGAAAAGTACATGGGTAATGTTGTAAAACAATAAACAATGTTTACCTTAGGTTAAGTTAAAAAAAGAACAAATAAAGGATATATCACATACATATGTGAAACAAAACAAAACAAAATACTTTGTTTAGATGTTTAATGTTTATATGCACATCATCTAAGGCAGGATGACAGTGTTTTCCTTAGTATTTGGTTGTTTATTTGTACAATTTAAATGTTTAAGATGATATTTTAAATTAAATTTTTGTGGGCACATGCTATTTCAGTCTGTCCCATGAAATGTATTTGACACAAATGCAGATTAATGTAGCCATTTTTTTATTTCACATGATTATTTTTTGTTTACATTATTCCATTTTTGTAATTATTGTTATTCTACACTGTGTTTCACTCTGTGTTCAGAAC